TAAAGAAAGACCCTTTTGGTGGAAGCATCCTTGGCATTAGGAAGTTTGTGTTTTTTCAATTTTTCCCTTAAAAACTATCCTACCAGCTAGCTCAAGGTGCTTACCAAGCTGGAGATCAAGCTCAGTTTTTTTTCTTTCTAAAGATGACAGGTTTTAATTAGTCAGTAGTTATAGACTACTACCATACAATCTCAGGGGCTTACATTTTTAGACTTAATCATGTGAAAAAGCTCGTACAGATGTTATAAATCCATTTATCTACATAGAAGACCTATTCTTTTTATAAGGTCAGAGTTAAACGTATCATGAAGATATCTATCTGTGAACTATAGATATACTGAAAGTATAACAAAAGAATTTCCAAAATTTGAGTTGAAGTTGATATAGTGTTTTATAACCACAGAACCTACTAATTTTTTTCTGAGTTAAAAAGTTTGTAAATAAAATATTTTTCAATAATGTTACCCAAAGAATGAAAATAAATGACTGTTTGATTTTTAGAAACGGAGTCTAAGTGCTACTGATATTAGCCAATTCACTTCTGAATAACTACTTGCATATCTTCTATTTCCCAACTTTTAGCTGGACGATCGATAGATCACAAAGCATAAAAAAAGTGAACTCTACATATAAGAATTCAGAAATATATTTTATAATTACTTGTAAAATAATTTGAGTAGCAATATTTTTAAATATAAAGACTGATAAATTGTTTTAGATTTATAGATTTAGATACATGTCAGCAAGGACATGACTTAATATGTTATATTTGAATGATAATAGAATCTGTCTACAACTTTGAAGATGGTTATAGTGAAGTAATCAGGCTATTGATACTGGTATAAAATAATTTCTTTTGTATGTAAAGTATATAATTTGCTTACAAATAAAAGTTTTCTAAAAGAAACAATTAGGATCTGAGGAAAAAACAAACAACTATTGGCTTAAACACTGGCTCAAAAAACTCCAAGATGCATTCTTCGGGATGAAAAAGAAAGGCATATATGTCATCTTTTGATCTTCCAAATTCCATAATTTAATGAACACATGGAAATTATACAAGTAAATAAGTTGATCTTAGAGTGAGTGTCTCCAATTTTTGTTACCTCAGTTTTCTGGGCAAATAATATTAGTTTTCATAATATACTAAAGAGAGGCCATTCAATTTGGTCTCTTTTTCCGTAGGTCAGTGACACATTCATTCTAGTCCATAGAATTCCTTATCAACTTTGCGGATGCCATCTTCTATCCATGTTATCACCCTTTGGCAGTGCTCATACTTGAGAAGGTGTAATACTCCACTAAATCCTCTTATGCTCTTTTTTTTTTCCTTTATATATTTAGGTCTTTATTTCTACAATGCTTTGGAGTTTTCATTGTACAAGTCTACACATAAATTGTTAAATTTATTCATACATGATTCATGGTTTTATTTTTTTTATTTTTAAAATATTTATTTATTCATGAGAGACACACAGAGAGAGAGACAGAGACAGAGACAGAGAGAGGCAGAGACACAGGCAGAGGGAGAAGCAGGCTCCGTGCCATGGGAGTCTGACGTGTGACTTGATCTGGGGTCTCCAGGCCCTGGGCTGAAGGCGGCGCTAAACCGTTGAGCCACCGGGGCTGCCCTGATTCACGGGTTTAGACGTTAGTTTAAATGGTATTTAACGCCAATAAAAAAAAATACACAGACAAAAAAAATAAAGAGATTCCAACATCACATTAAAATTTTTTATTTTCCAGGAATATTTTTGGTAGTGTATAGAAATAAACTTAATTTTTGTATTGGCATTAATACCTTGGTAAAGTAACTTATTCTAGAAATAGTTTTTCTAAATTATTTAGGAGGTGTCCTTCCTTCCTTCCTTCCTTCATTCCTTCATTCCTTCCTTCCTTCCTTTTTTCCTTCCTTTTTGCCTTTAATTTCTTTTTCTTGCCTTACTTCAATGGCTACTATAGTGGTTTGGGTGTTGTTGGTTTTTTTTTTTTTTTTTTGTATTTTTTTTATTGGAGTTCGATCCTTATGTTCTTGATTCAATGGCAAAATAGTGCGCTGATTGCCTTAATAAGTGCAAGATAAAATGTGAGGTCACATCAAATCTTAGGCTATTAATAAGTATGAGGCTAAATTATTTCTTTGTTATAACTCTACTAAGTTCAAAACTTAACTAATTTATTATAAAATTTTGCAATTACAGGGAAATGTATACAAATCTTTTAGATTCAATTCTAAAAGTTATCTTTTTCCCATTCCTTTCTTTTATTTTGGGCACTGAAGAAACATGATCAGTTTGGGAATATCTTAACTTTCCCCTTGATGTCATGATGTAATGTCATCTTATTATTGACTTTCCCTATTTACATTTTGCAACATACATGCATTGCATTGTCTTTTGACTGATAATAAATCAATCAACAGTGCAGCAATAGAAACCAGTATTGTGCCTGCATATATGCAGCAAGGTGGGCTGAGGGTGCTCCTAACCAATGAAATAAAATTCACATGTAGTAATTTCACTTATATAGTAAAAATTACTAGTGCTTGCCAACCTCCAGAATTAGCTGATAGTTATTCAGCCTTATAAGAAACATTCATTTAAAACTCTGCATATGCTAATTACTTAGAACCCAATACATCAATATTTTTAATTATGTATTGCAATTAAAATTAACTAAAATTTAAAAATTGTGCAGATGCAATATATTACTAAAAAGAGAAGAGTTTTGAAGTCATTGAAAACAATTAGCAATATAGCACTAACTTTAGAAAAAAAATGAGAGTTGCAGAGAATAAAGTACCCAATATTTTTATGGGCTTTATTCTGAACCAGGCAGTATTTTAAGTATTTTACATTTATTCTCTCATTTAAACTATGTATGAGTAGTATACTCATTTTACAGAGGGAGAAACTGAGCTGTAGGAAGGTTAAGGTTTTTCCTAAAGTTTATAGTTGGTTGATGACAACACCAGGAAATGAACCCAGCCACTATCCAGAGCCTAGTGTCCTGCCACTCCACCACAGTAAGGATATTACCTCGGAGAATGAAAAGGAGTTATTTTATGTATTCACTGAAAGTAGAAGAAGGGGGAAAAAAAAACAAGAACAATCAAAGAAATAGAACCTTTGCAATCAGATAGAAGATCATTTGAGAGAATGGCATAGGAAAGAAGAATCCTGAGGGAAACAGATGAACCTTTATTTTTGAATATTTATGAATATAAGAAATATATGCATACCACATCTCATTTCAGACCCTCAAAGCTGGTTCTTGTAATTACATGCTTCTTGTATAGAAAAATTTCCTCCACTTAAGCAAGAGTTTTTCTCTGGATTATTATTTACGAACATGAAGAGCTGAGAATATTTTTATAACATTTAATAAATTACAATATTAATTTATACAAATGTAATATTAATTTATTAGTGAGAAATATTTTAATGTAAACATTAAAAACATTTTAAATGCATATGTATATGATACTAATTTCAAGTTGGCATAGTACTGTATATAGCAATAATAGTGGGTTATAGTCATATATTAAAATTAATGTAATTTCTCTAGCACTTTTTTTTAGATTTTTATGACTTTGTACTTTTAGAAAAATTAGATCTCCAAAGAACAAAATTACTTTTCGATCAATTAAGTTATAATTTTCAATTTAGGTAAACAGATTGAATAAGTTTTGTGAACTACTTACTCAGGAATTTTTATTCCTTTTCAAAATTATATTACATACTTTTTTGTCATATTATTGATGATTACACAAACTAACAATCTGGCTCAGTTTTTCTGTTTCTAAACTGTCTTGGGAAATACATTTCGTATTAATGACTTTGGGGAATATTACAATAGAAATGTTAAGATTAGATTCATATTATTTGTAGTATTTTAGATAAAGGCATTCTGTGTGAATTACAAAGATAAATATTAAAGCTTTCTTTTTTCTTTAATATCTCCCGGATCCAATCATTTAAAAGTAGCCCTTAAAATTGGAAGAGTCCTTCTGAAACTTTACTCATCTTCATCAGAAGTTCATATATTCAACCCCAAATCTCTGAGATCAAATGCAATTATCCTGAGGAATTCACACACTATTAAGATGAACTACACTGTGCTTTTATTTTTTTTTAATTCCTATTTTTATTTATTTCTTTCAGGGAGAGAAAGAAGAGACAGAGAATAAATGACTAGGGGAAGGGGTAGAGGATGAGGGCGAGGGAGAGAATCCTAGGTAGACACCACCATTAGCTCAATGTGCGGCTTTTTCTGACAACCCTGAAATCATGACCTGAACTGAAATCAAGAGTCAGATACTTAACCAACTGAGCCAGGCGTCCCTAAGATATTCTTAATGATAAGAAAGAAGAAAAAAGGCATTGTTGTTGTTGTTGTTTTTAACATTCTTCTTTTGCCTTTGTGGGGGAAAAATAAATTCTTTAAATAAAATCTGTAATCTCTAGAACTAAAATGGACAGTATTAGAAAAAGCTAATACAGCCCTTATTTTACTTACGAGCAAAATAAGTCCCTATAAGGTAAGAGACTAGAGCAGGGTCATACCATCAAGGTGGCAGAGACAAGCCCCCTGCCTAGCCCATAGCTCAGGTCCTTACCACACTTGCTTATCTCATGGTTCCATGAAAAGGAAGAGACCTAACAATTCCCGTGAAGAAGGAAGAAGTACCATTGACGTACTGTAATGTTTTGTTGGTATTTTTTAAAAAAAACAAATTGGGGACACACCTCAATGCTGATCATACCTTCCCAACTGGAAAAGTGTGGTCTTCTGAATCATCAACAATTGCACGTTGTGTGCTGTCCACTGCTTGGAACTCTCTGTGCTATGAAGTATTAATAATTACTTCACTGAGTTGAACTGGCTGGCACAAAATTGATTATGTTCTTATCATGCTATATCAGGACTGTAGCTCTCAGCCACTAAACCTGTCAGACTTGTTTCCTTTCTTGTTGCCAGTGACTCTTATTATTTTCCAGCCTCCCAGCCCTGATCTGGCTGATAGGGATCAGATGGTGACTGGATACAAGCTGCCCCAGCACTGGGTCCATGATGTACGCGTAAGTACTCAGCTTTTCTCAGTCGGAGTTATCAATTGGGACACAGGTTCACAATTCCTGACACAGGCAGGACAAATATTGTCTGGTGGACTGTGCTTTAAAAATAAGGGGTTTTTTTTCTACATGTGTTACTGTATTTTGGATTAAAGTTTTATTTTGTTGCTATTTCCACATATAAGAATTTCTTTAAACAGAAAGGACCAATATGATCCTTTCTTTCTAAATAACAGAAATAGAAATGATATGCAGTAATACATTAACTCATTATATTTAAACATTTAGGAAAAACTCTGCTATATAAAAGAATAATTTATAATAGTTTATTTAATTTCTTTAGTATGATCAATAGCTTAGTATACATTTTTGTGGTAATGTTGCTTTGTGAAGTATATTCTGGGAAAACTTGAAATATAAAAGGAGGCTTTACTGAAATTTCAATTCATAATTCAAAATAAAAAAAGTATGGCGGCATAAGATTATATGTATCATGAATGAAGGATGAAAGTTCAAATATTTACATCTAAATATCTAAATAATTATTGAGTTAACAAAATCTACACTGTATGTGACATTTTTCATAATTCAACTCCAAAATAATTAATCATTTAATGAATTTAAGGTAAATAAATTTGTATATGTATATATAGTTCGGAATTTCAGGCTATCATTTTACAGACTCAGAAATGAATTACTGATATTTGATGTTAGTGATTTCAAACACTGCATAGTCTACCCTTGCATCTCAAAGAGGTTCTTGACCTCTCTATAGACACCAGTCTCCCAGCTGATCTGCAGACTGACGTTTCCAATTTAATCATGATTCTGTGATCATTATAATTGTACAGTCATTTGATTTTGTCTTCAGTAAAGTATAATACTTTAAGCCTGTAGGCTCCAGCACTCTGAAATAATGAGTGTTCTTACCCTTCCAAAATTACTCTGAAATAATAGCATGAGCCTGAGGAAGATTATCTATTTGATGCATAAAGTTTCTCCCCAATGTCCCTTTCAGGACAGCATGATATGGCATATTATCAGTACTTCTCATTAAGTATAGGAGGTGTATGTTTCTCTTCTTTTTTTTTAAAGATTTATTTGTTTATTTGAGAGAGAGAGAGTGAGAGAGAGAGAGAACAAGTGGGAGAGGCAGAGCGGGAGAGAGAGAAAGAATCTCAACCAGGTTCCACACTGAACTCGGAACCTGACATGGGGCTCAATCTCATGACTCTGAGATCATGACTGAGTTGAAATCAAGAGTCAGACACTTAACCAACTGAGCCACCCAGGCATACTTCTTATTAGATATGAGAAAGTGTTATTTCTTCTTCTAAAATATTTATTTATTTATTTATTTGAGGGAGAGAGAACACGGATGTGGGGGAGGGTCAGTGGGAAAGAATTTCAAGCAGACTCCCTGTTGAGTGCAGATCCCCATGAAGTGCAGAACCCAGAGACCCTGAGATCATGATCTGAGCCAAAATAAAAAATCCACCACTTAACAGAGCCATCCATGTGCCCCTGAAAGTGTTATCTCTAATTCACCAAGATAAGGACAGAGTAGGAAAAAATGTGCATACAAAAAAAATTACTTTTATATATAACATTCATATAGGTATAATATGCAAACAATTTCAGTTTTAAAGAATTAGCAAAGAACTTGAAGTTCTCTCATTCTCATTTGCTTAGAATTTTGTAGTACTGCTTTTCTATCAGCCTGATTCTACTCTTCCCAATATCTATTCACTCACTTTACCACACTAAAAGTGTCATTACAGACACATGAAATTTCTATATTGAAGTGTCATCAGCTTTTTTTTTTAAAGACTTTATTCATTTATTCATGAGACAGAGAGAGAGAGAGAGAGAGAGAGAGAGAGAGAGAGAGGCAGAGATAGAAGTTAGAGGGACAGGGAGAGGGAGAAGCAGGCTCCATGCAGGGAGCCTGATGTGGGACTTGATCCTAGTTCCTGGGATCACGCCCTGAGCAGAAGGCAGATGCCCAGCCAGTGAGCCACCCAGGTTCCCGTGTCATCAGCTTTGATTCAGAGCTTATAATTCTGAGGATTTTGAGTATCTTTTTAATTTAATTTAATTTTTATTTATTTCTTTTAGATTATTAATCAATTAATTAACTAATTAATTAACTAATTAATTTATTTATTTATGAGAGAGAGAGAGACACACACACACACACAGAGACACAGGCAGAAGGAGAAGCAGGCTCCACGCAGGGAGCCAGATGCGGGACTTGATTCCGGGTCTCCAGGTTCAGGCCTTGGACTGAAGGAGGAGCTAAACCGCTGAGCCACCTGGGGCCACCCTTGAGTATCTTTTTTAATTGGATTCTAGATCAGTATTATTTTTAACAATAAAGAGTGGATTGCACCATAGGGATAAAAAGGTTAGGGAGTAGGTTCATTGACTTTCTTAGTAAAGGTATTTTGCTCAAGAACAGTCTCAGGCTCAAAGAATGAATGAATGAGATGCTACAGCTTCTTAGAAGTTTTGTTTTTCTCATTGTGGTAGAGTAGGAAAAAGTACTAGCATGAGATTTAGATGTGTTCTAGATCCAGCCTTGCACTCATTTGTCTGGATAAGTCACTTACCTTCAAGATTTCACCTCTTTTATATGTAAAGTATGGAAAGTTCACATTGATATAAATGGAGGAGGAGTTGTCACCATTAATGAGATTTGAAATAATTTTTGTGAGTAAGCACAAAGATACTTTATTATTTATAATTTGGTTTATCTTGGTATTATTCATTTTGTTTTATTTACTTCGTTAAATAACTGGAAGTAACATCTGATATTAACTTTGTTATATTTTTACTATATCATAACTAGTAAATCTAAGTATTGTATTGTGGAACTGTTGTTTTAGATGTATGATTATGTGTGTGTTCCATGCTGTGATGTGGAATATTTCTTACTGTGGAACATGGTCAAAAACATTTAAAAACACTGCATTAGCCTTAAAGTCATTTTCAATTCTGTGATTTTGAAAGACTTAATAGCTAGTTAATATTGAGGACATTAACTTTCTTGAGGCTCTAGAGACCATTTATATTATCCTATAGATTTTTTTCCCCACTAGTCCCTATATCTGGTGCCTCCTACAGGTGAGGAAGAAATCAGAGATATGGTTACCAGCAATATAGATACTTCGGTGCCAGGAGGCCACACCCTGATGGCACAATTGGACAAATGTGAAAAAATAAGTATAAACAGAATGCTATGGGAATATCTGCTTAATCTTATAAAGGCTTCTCTGAGCTATTGAGTGTAATCTAAAAAAAAACTATTTGGAATTAGTTGGAGGAGAAGGAAGTAGGGATTCTTGACTGGGAGAACACAGCCCTTGTAAAAGTCGTGAGACTTAACACACAGTAGCAAATAGATGTTGGAAATTATCAGAAGAAATGCATGATCAGTCAGACTATGAAGCGCCTTTTGTTTCAGATTAAAATCTCTAAACTCTATGAAGAGAATTGGGTAAAAAACTTAAGCACAAGGAAGAAATGATCAAATTTGTGACTGAGAACCATTAGGGTAGACCAGAACAGTCTGGTGGTTCTACTGTCTTTTGGTACAGTTGCAGAACTAAGTGAAGGGAATGGCATGGACACTGCCTATGTACAAGTTGATTCTTCTGCCTAAAATGAATGTTCCTTCTCACAGTTGATTAGACTCCATATCTTCCTTGAAGATTCTAATTAAAATTACTGTGAAATTTTTCTCCTACCTCACATCGTATGTCTTAATTATTTCTTGAAACACAGCCATCCTGTTAACAAAAGATCACTTTAATAGGGACACCTGAGTTGCTCAGTTGGTTAAGCCTCCAACTCTTGATTTCAGCTCAAGTCATGATCTCAAGATTGTGAGAGCAAGCCCCACATTGGGTGCTGGGCATGGAGCCCACTTAAGATTCTCTCCTTTTTTTTTTTTTTTTGCCTCTCTTCCACACTCTCTCTCTAATAATAATAATAACAAACATTATATATACTTGACACCTCTCTGCATGCTTAACTACTTGTTTATAATTATGGCCCACAGTTGAACAGACAACTTTCAGTATTCCCAGTGCCAAAACATTGCCTGGCCCATTGTAAACCCTCAACATTTGTTTGTTGACTTACAGTAACATATACCTAAAGCTTAAGAACAGAGACTGAGAAATGAGGAAAAGTTGGAGTAAATAGGGCTCATTCTCATGACCTGAGCTGAAACCAAGAGTCAGACACCCAAGAGGCTACACCACCCAGGCACCCAAAGTTTACTTTTCATTACATGTCTATTCAGGAAGGCCTAGGGGATATTTGAGATACCGTAATTCAGAGGGTAAATAAAAAGCTAAGTAGTGGAGAGAATTCATTTGAAGTAAACTTATGCTATGGTGCTGACAGGGATTTATTGTAGAAGTGATGAAAGCATCACATAAATGCCTGTAGACTAAATTTTAAAGTTTTATTTATTCATTAATTCAACAAATGATTATTACTCTAACTTATACCAGTAGCACATTACATACACACATAATATATATATGTATACAGGTATTATACATACACATGATATCTATTGTGAGTTCATATCATGTGTGCGTATATACACATATCACATGCACATAAATAAATATACACATAGACCTGTACATGACCACAACAAATATTCTCTACTTTTATGGTGTTTACAATTTAGAAGAGACATGATAAGCAACTAAAACAAATGGCAATAAATTTAAAATGTGTATGTCTGAGGTAAAGGTTTTGTATTTTTTTTCCAAAACCTTTTTCTACTTAGCCTTATTTCTTTTAATAATTTCTTTCTTTCTTTCTTTCTTGCTTTCTTTCTTTCTTTCTTTTTTTTTGTGGTATCTGATTTACTAAACACACTGCCTTCTAAAGGATAACACCCCATCCTCTCATAGAATTCCTTCAACCTGGCAATTAAGGTGCCTGTAGAAGGCCTTTCCAGCATTCTAAAGGTCAGCTGCCTC